TGTTGACGTCCATCTTGTTTGTTGTATTGTGGGTAACTCAGAATTCACAACAAAAGTTTGGAAACTTGATGATGCAAACTTTGTTGATGAGGTTTCCAACAATCGATCTTTATCACCTAAAATTTAACAGAATTTTATTTATGCCATTTTTTTAGCACATTCCCATATTTATGCATAACAAATTAAACATATTAGGCTTTTTTATTTTTAAAATTAGATTTTAAAAGACTTTTTGTGCACTTGTCTTTTTTATAATTAGAAAAATTTTAAAAGAAAAAAAAAATTGTGTTGTAAAGAAATTTATTAGATCTGTGTTTTCAATTCGTTAATTGTCGGGCATCACAGATGCAACTAATACAATTCATGGTAACAATTTGTATGTGAGATTGTTCAATCTTTTTTTTTAATTTTATGTATTCTGCAAAGCATGGCTATACTACTTGACAATAATGGAAATACATATTAAGTTTCACTGTCACATTGACAATGAAATCAACACAAAAAAATTCTAAATTTGACTTTAAATACTACGAATACAGATTGTCTACTTGATAAAGTAATATAATTTGTATCAAAAAGTTGGTTTGTTAGTTACGTGCAAGTGCAAATGAAATTGTAATATCGTCCAATGACTCTATTTATGGGTTGCCATAACTCTATTCTTAGTGATTTTTAGTTTAAATATGCCTAAGTAGCAGCTAGAACTTTTGATTTCTCTCTGACTAGTTATTTAGAAATCCAAAGAAAAAGCTGGGGTACCAAACAATTTTTATCAAGTCCAAGTTGATCGATATTCAATTCAAAATGGCTGCCAAAATAGGACTTAATTATTGTTACCATAGAAACATGTTCAAGTATACCCTATTTTCATTTAATCCTTCCAGTTAATTTCTTTGATTGAACTGATCAAAATATCATTAGTCTTTAAACTTTCGTCATTTTCATCCTTAATTCTAATTAAGACGATAATGGCCGTCGTCTTCAATATGGGTCCCGAAGTGAGGTACACAACACATGTAAAACGATGTTTACCCAAAATTCGGACACTTGCTGTGCAATAACCACCACCTTTCAAAACAGCTATACACAGGTAACAATTGTTGCCTTGAAAACTATTATATTAACATGTCTATTTGTCAATTAATATGCTTGGATTGTTATAATTTCATAAAAAATATGGTAAAGTAAATTTTAAAGTAAAAGTTTTCATTAAAATTGTCAACACATTTTGATAGATACTTTGAACCCTGCTGATTCAATTCATCACAGTCAATGTGTTCATAATTGGTGTGTTTGCCGCATTGCACCGATATCTAACACAAGACGAATATATTGCTTCTTGTTTGACCATATCATATAATCATTCCAAGGGGAGCATAATTTTGATATGCATTCACGAAAACACAGATCACAATATTACCAGACTACTGTTATACAGTAAGAGCCAAAGAATATATATATTCTGTTTTGAGCATCTCAGCTTGATGAGTTTAAATAAATTACTTATTTCTCTTCAACTTAAACCCTATTTATTCAATCTGATAAAGTAATTGCGTAACAGTACCACTAAGTCAAGTTTATCGTATAATAATTATTTTTCTGTTTACTATCATTTCCTCTGCCAGGCTGCCATTGCTACTTTAATATGTGGGATGAAAGCAACTTACAAAAGTCAATTGTATACTTTTAATTTTATTCATTTGTTTCATTTATTTATGTTTTATGCAATTAAATTGTTCTGATATAAATTTCTACTGTATTACTCACTGATTTGAAGCGTATGTGTTTTTGTATGAACATATACACTTGCATGTGTGTGTGCTGTTGTTTTTGTTTGTTTTGGTGAAAGGGCATTCTTGTATACCTGAGGACGATTATTCAAGCTGTAGTATGTATGATCATTCATTATTCAATTTAAGCAAAATAACAGAATTTGTTTTGAAAATAATAGATGAGACCAAAGAACCTCTCAATGCTTTGTCACAACAAATTACAAATTTAGAAGTGAACTTAATTTTAACTTTTTATCGTTTTGCTCCATTCAATTTTTGCCTTAGTTTCACGTTTCCTATTTTTGTGCAACTGATTTTGTTTCCTATTTTTTTTTTATAACCTGAATTATATAAATAAAAATGTGCATTTATCTTTCTATTTATGTTGAGAAGTGCATGATGGAATAAACTGTTATGACAGGAAAACTGCCATTCATCTCCCTTGCATCATTGTAATGTTCATATGAACATTGTCAGCAGAGTTTGTTGGCCCTACACTGTAGTGAAATAACACTAATTTGTATATTGAAATTTACAATATGAAATTATGTTAGTGTTCAAATACTAAATCACTTTTCAAATGTAGAAACCTGTATAACTCACTATGTTCATGTTTTATACAA